CAAAGAACGAGAGAAGAGATATATAGAGAGAAAACAGTGATAGAAAGAGAAGACACAGATCATTAACGCTAGAACAGACAGACTGTCGGTGATCCGTGGGAGAGAAAGCGTCTGAATCTCTCTAACCTCCTTCGCTTCATTGCGAAGATCCAGAGTTGAAGGTACACAAAGGCAAATGAAACGTTACGAACCAGACACCGATCTTTCCCACGGTTACCGCGATGATCATCGAAACTTAACCGATCGCTAATCCCGATTATTCACCTGAACAAGCCGTGGGACGTGCTTGGCTGGATCTTTCCGTTTCCGTTGCTCGAAGGTGGCACAGTCGGTGGCTGTGGTTCGCTAGCCGATCGTTGGACCAACGCCGGAGCTCTACTGGTCTGCTTGCCGGTGCCAGCAGGAGCTGTGCCAGGCATCATCTCGATGCTGGAGCTCTCCCTGGACGAGTTGAGCGTCTGCTGAAGCAGCGTCAGGATCAACTTAATGTCCCCTGCCATCGAGTGCTCCAGAGAGGACACCTGGCGCGACAACTGATCTATTCGCGCGTTTATGTCTTTTATAGGCCGGCCTGGTCCACTCTGAAAGTCACCTGCAACCAACGAACAGCGAATGAAGACGGGTTCAATGGAGGATTCGAAGATCTACTCGGCCAATGGAGTCATCGGGAAGTAACCGTGAAATCCCGTATTTTGAACGTTTCTCAAGCATCTTCAGGTATCCTCTTTCGTCGGGGAAACGATCAAGCACGGTGCAAACGTTCCAATAGAGTGGCATACAATAAGCAGGCGTGAACGTGGCGTAATGTAAGGAAGACAAGTGTGAACGCGGTGTGAAGGTGGACAATTATGAATAGAGGGAAGATGACTAATGATCACGACGTGCGGCATCGACGCTTAACAGCGACAAGTTCGAAGAGGAAACTGCCAAAGGGAAATTGCGAGGAAAGCCTGGAATGTAGAAGAATGTTCAAGAAGGTTCGATTGAGATCAGCTTCCGGTTCGGAAGTGACGGGAAATCGAGTCCGTGGCATCAGTCAGTTATGGGATGCCGAATGCCGATGTAACCGTGTCGGTTTCAAATGAAAATCCTTACAAATAGGAAAGTTTTTTCGTGAAACATCGAACGCGACTCGAGGTTATGGGCAACCCACCGTGAGACTGCGGATGTTGAGGTGGCGACGGCGTGGTGTAATGACTGGACGTCGTAGAGGTCGCGTGCACCGCGTTCTGGCTGAGGCAGCTTTCACCGGCGGCCGAGCTCCTCCTCGCTGGTTTCGTCAACGGCGTGGTCACTGGATAAACACCCGGTCACAAAATCAGTATCGCCCGGGAAGGGTTAGAGGAAGTCTTTTTCCTCTATCCTCGAAATGTTCCTCGTATCTCCGAGATAAAAGGGGAACGAGGGTGGCATTTGGGGGATGGTGGAATAAAGAAAGACAGAGAAAGAGAGAGAGAGAGAGAGAGAGAGAAGAGAGTAGAGAGTAGAGAGCAGATAGAGAGAGAGAAGAGAGAGAAGTAGAAAGAAGGGAATTCTCTCGCGAGAATCATCCGTAGTACGGCTCGATAAACCGTGACCCCGTGTCCCTTGATACTCGCCGGCTGATTAACGTGCGTGAAACTTCGTTAGACGTGGCCGGGCCGACGGGTTTTCGGTATCGGTTAAAACTGTCTACACGCCATAGACGGGATACTTACTCTGCTTGGCGAGGTAATCGTGACTCGTCAGTGGCTGCAGATGGATCTTGTGCTGACATAGGTCCGGTATACTGCGCTTGAGATGGGTTAGCATGCCTGAACAACCAGGTTTCAAGGTGTTAACGAACTCGGGAGTCAAACGCAAACGCAAAGCTTAAACGCTGCACGCTCTCGACCCAATCGCCACTCGTTTAAACGATGATCTTGAGTATGTGAGCAACGATTTCGTACTCCGTTCGCAATTTGCTTTCGAGTCGAACGGAACGATCGGAACATTGAATTTACTAGATGTCAAAGTATAGACACGAAGGTATAAGATTGTTCGAGTTAATCGAGTCTTGAAATCTGTGCTGCTCGAGACAACGAAACTTGAGCGGATTGAACATTATGCTGCAACTAGAATCTCGTGCAAACTACGTATTGCTATCGTTGATATTTACAGAACCGATGTGACAACGCCTGGGTGTCGTAGCTCGAGCTTTCCGTGAGATTGTCAGACCGTTGTGTCAGTGAGAGAGAAAAAGAGAGAGAGGGAGAGGGAGAGAGACAAAGAGAGAGAGAGAGAGAGAGAGAGAGAGAGAAAGAAGGAAAGAGAGAGAGAGAAAGAGAGAAAAAGAGAGAGAGAGAGAGAGAGAGAGTGACCCTTGAATCGTGGCGATTGGGTTAAGGGGATGTTTCAGAGCAGA